TATATCTATCCAATGCTGGGCCTTCTTCTAGACTAAGCATTAAATGCACAGGTTATATTAAAAGGCTTAAAATATTACTGAGAAGTACAAAATAAAATTTGAATAGATGAAAGCCTAAATGATGCCCTTGTATGGGGTAAATTTTTATTGTATAAATGTCAAAGACTGGGTTGGGGTTGTGGCTCGGTGGTAGAGTGTTTGCCTAGCATTTGTGAGGCGCCTGGATTCAATCCTTAGCCCCACATAAAAATAAATAAACCAAGGTATTGGGTCCTCTTACAACTAAAAAAAAAAGAAAAAGAAAGAAGAAAAGAAATGTCAAAGACTCATGCTTGGTGCATTGGTGTGTACCTGTAATCCCAGAGACTCAAGAGACTAAAGCAGGAAGATCTCAAGTTGAAGGCCAGCCTTCATCACTTAGTGAGAACCTGTCTCAAAGCAAAAACTAAAAATGAGCCTGGGGATGTGGCTTAGTGGTTAAGGGCCTCTGGGTTCAGTCCCTGGCACCAAAAGATAAATAAATAAAACTAAAAAGTTAAAAGAACTGGGGACTCAGTGGTAAAGCATCCCGGGTTCAATCCCTAGTGCCAACAAAACAAAACATGATTCTCAAACCCATTTAAAAAATTCTGTGTTCTAATGAAGATTGAGCTAAAGTTTATCTAAAAGAGTAAGTTCTTAAAATGAACTAAAGAAAAAAATAAGAATTTCAAGCAGAATCTTTCTATTATAACCTGGTTATGACTACAGTTTAGAGTCTAGTTTTAATAGAGGGATAGATAAATGGCCATTGTGAGAGAAGAGAAAGCATCCAGATAGACACAACACAAGTTAAAGATATTAAAAAGACAGCATGTTGAATCATGTAAAATTGTATTATTTTTTTAAATGAGAAAAATGACCAATATTTAAAAAGTCAGGCTGGACCTGTCCAGCTTCTCATTGTAGATTAATGATTTAATTGACATAGATTTAGAAGGTGATTATTCATTTGAGACATCTTTCTGTCTTTCTTCTCCTCTCACTGTCTCTTTCTCTTTGTTTGTTTGGCCTTCATGATGTGACAGTGTTTAAGTTCTTCTCCTATTTGTTTGGAAGATCTTTCTCAGCTTTTTTCCTCGTTACTTGTGTCCTATTCCACAGATCACTCTTTTTTTCTATTCATACTCATTTTCTTAGTGATATTATCCGACTTTGCTACTTTACCCACAACTTCTAAATTAAAATCTCCAGCCCTAGAATTTCCAAGAAAATTCTCAGTTTCTGAGTTCATGAGACAGAGTCTGGAGTCTAAGGTTTAGCAAAAGTGGCTAAATTTGCAAGAGAGAATACCAGAGACAAGAGAGTTTCACAGAGAGAGGAAACTCCAGGATTTGGCAGAAAATCCCAATCAATCTTCAATGAATACTGCTCAGTGTGTGCATATGACAAAACAGCCCAAGACTAGGGGTCTTAGTCCATTTTCAGTTGCTATAACAGAATACAGCAGATGGAATAATTAATAAACAACAGAGTGGACTTAACTACTACCCTGGAGGCTGGGGCATCCAAGATGGAAGGGATGCATCTGCTGAGGGTCTTCCCTTTGCTCATTACATGGTGAAATACATACATCAAATGGAGACAGATATATATATATATGAGAGAGTAGGAAAGAGGGCTGAGTGATGTTGGGGGAAACCCAGTACCTTGTACATGTTAAGCATATGCTTTACCACTGAACTACATCTCCACCCCTTTTATATCAAATCTACTGTCACCAACAATGAGCCCATTGCTGTGATATGACAGTAATTCTTTCATGAGGGCAAAGTTCTCATGACGAAATCACCTCTTGAAGGTCCCATATCTTATGGAGTAAATGAAATTTACTCCCTAAGTAAATTTAGTTGTAGATGGACACAACATCTTTATTTTATTTATTTATTTTTATGTGGTGCTGAGGCTCAAACCCGGTGCCTCACACTTCTTAGGCAATTGCTCTCTCTCTGGTCCACAATCCCAGCCCCCTAATCATCTCTTAATGGTCCACCATATTAAAATCATTACCGTAAGGACCAAGCTTCCAACTAGAGAGGAAAAAAGGGAGAAAAGGTGGGAGATGGTCACTTATGAAAATAGAAGGGAGACTAGTAGAGGAAATAGACCTGGGGAGAGGATGTGGGAGGTAAAGGGGAGGTATCGGGAATGATGTTGACTAATTTATATTTGTAATCTCATTACTATGTATAGTTGTAATGCACCAATTATGGGGGGGGGAAATGATGCACTTGTATGTAGGATGATGTCAAAATGAAGCCAACTGGGGTTGGGACGTTGGCTCCGTGGCAGAGTGCTTGCCTAGCATGCATGAGGCACTGGGTTCGATTCTCAGCACCACATACAAATAAATAAAATAAAAAATTTCATCAACTAATAAAAATATTTTAAAAAAACGAAGCCAACTGTTATGTGTAACTATAATGTACTAATAAAAGCATAAAAGGGCCTCATCTCCTCTGGGACTGGGATTGTAGCTCAGTGGTAGATCACTTACCTGGCATATGTTAGGCACTGGG